CCCCGCCCCCGCCGCGCGCCCCGCCCGCGGCCCCTCACGCCTGGCCCTGGGTCTGTCCCCTCCAGATCACCTCGGTGAGGGGTTAGCAGACAGCAAGAGGCAATATGAGAGCCGGATCCAAGCTCTGGAGAAGGAGCTGGGCCGCCACATGTGGCTGAACCAGGAACTGAAGCAGAAGCTCAGTAGTTGGAGCGCTGCCGGCCCGGGCAGGGGTAATTCTCCCCCAAACCAGCGAGCCAGCCCCCCGCGTTCCCCGCTTTGCAGTGTCAGGCTTCGGCCGTGGGGGAGGCTTAGGAACCACGCTAACCAGCTCTTCCCGGGGCGGCTCACACGTGGCCCACGGTGCGGGGGGGCTGGGAAGCCTCCATGTCTGACCACAGAGCCCTTTCAGTGACAGGTGTGGAGAAGAAGACCTTGTGCCTGGAGAACAGGCCACCCCCGGGAAACGAAGAGGAGCCCCCCGCCGCACCCGAGCTTCTCTGGCAGCAGGCCCTCCCGGATGGCGCCCCCCGCGCCCGGGACGAGGTGCGGGACTTGGTCCGGGCCCCGCTCCCGCTGACGTGGAAACGCTCAAGCCTGTGCGGTGAGGAGCAGGGCCCGGCCGAGGAGGCGCGGCTGCGGGAGGCCGCTGAGCCCCTGGCAGGGCGAGTGCAACCCGGAGGTGAGGTGGGTCTGCCCTGGAACTTCGGGCCCCTGGCCAAGGCCCGGCGGGACCTGCGCAGAGCCAGCCCGGGGATGATTGACGTCAGGAAAAACCCCCTGTAGGCTCGCGGGCAGAGCCTGTCCTGGGGGGACCCTCCGAGCCTGCTGCACGGTCCAGCCGCATGCCTTTGCTTCTGGGAAGGACAGTCTTTACTTCCCACCGCAGATCCAGGTCCCGATCTTTACCCAATTGGAGTCAACAAATTCGGGCTACAGCCCAAATGAATTGGGACTCAATTTTTTTTAAATATGCGCTCTCCTGCTCCTCATTTCGTTTGAGCTATGGTACCACCTTGCCGTCTTTTGGCTTGAGAGTTTGCAAAAGGCAGTTCTGGTTTCAAGCCTGCGTGTGTGCCCGGCGTTCTGGGGTTCAGCCAGTGCTGGACCCAGAACACTCAGTGGCAACAGGGTTGGGTTTTAAATGGTCTTATGTTTATGGTGGGAACGGGGAAGTTTTGCCTATTTTTAGAATTTTGTAAAACCATTTTATAATAAATGAGACTCTCTGAAGGGAGAAATAGGAGTTCTGACTTGGTTTGATCTACAAGATAAGAGAATTCCATCTGAGAACACGACAGGCTTGCAAGCTTTTCAGGCTCCCAGTAGGCCACTCTGCACGCCCACCCCCCCAAACAGCTGCATCTCCCCGAGCACAGTGAGGTCAGGGCCGGGCCAGGTTTCAGGGCTGACTCGGAGACGCAGAACCAGGAACCACTAGAGCTCAGCCAGAGTGAGTCAACGTGAGGCCTCCAGGTTTAAACAGAAAGGCACTGAATGCTACGCAGCCCGAGAGGATTTTATTATGACGCGGGGAAGGTAAGAAATTGATTCTGCTGTTGGCCGCAGCCTTCAGCTTTGTGAGGGGCCCCTGAGGAGCCCTTTCTCCCACTGGGACTGGCCTTGGTCTCTCAGAGGCGGGGGCCGAAGGGGAGCCTGCTCTTACAATTCCTTGTCTGCCTCCCCAGCTGAGTCAGAGCACCCGCCTCACCACCTCCCTAACAAGGGGCAGGGCTGGGAGGAAGGCACCCCCGGAGGGGGATTAAACCCCCTAAGGGACTCCTGTGGGAATCGGAGGGCTGACACAGTAGAGGACTGGGACCAGGCCCCCAGTACCTGTAAGCCCACGGGGACCGGGCTGACTTATCTTTTGAGCTTCCTTGGTTTCCAGGGAGCCCTCCAGGGTGACGTAGGACAGCTTCGTCAGGCCCTGGCTCAGATGAACTGAGTTTCTGGGGCCAGAAGTCCTCTGTGCCAGGAGCCTGGAATTCCTGACACGTCCAGAGGAAACTGCTCTCAGAGCACTTCGTCCGGCCTGGGAAGGCAGTGGCTCTGGCCAGGCTCAGTAGTGTGTGGAGGTTTAGGTCCCCCTACCAGTGCCAGCCTAACTAGCTCAGGAGTTTCTTCCGTGTGTAAGTCCTGCTGATGGGGCGTCTCCTGGAGAATGCTCGGCTGAAAGGAGATTCTTCGGCCGTCGGGGGGACCACCTCCATCTCCTCATCTAGAAGGCGGCAGAGGGGGCATGCAGGAAGTGAGGACGGAACAGGAGAGAAGGGGCTTGAACGGGACAGAGGTCCCCATGCAGGCAGCGCCTGCCGGTTCGCGTGCTGCGCTTCTTCCCAGGCTCCCCACCCTCACGTCAGCGCAGGGCTGGCGGCGGTTTGGAAAAGCCAAGTCCTGCGGTCTGAATTCCCTCAGCTGGATTGTGCATTCTGCTGTTTTGCGTGATTTATACCCTGGTCTCGGGGGAAGGGAATCACCGGAGGCTCCGGCCTCCTGGATTCCCCTTCAGTTCTAGATGTTTCTAACGCAGTGCACTGAGCACCCGCAAGCCGGTCCCTTTCCCGGGTGGGGTCGAGGAAAGGGACCCCTCAAGCCTGAAGGCCGATCCCAGCAGCCAGTCCCTAATCCTAACGCGTGTACGGAAGCGCAGGGGTGTAACCCCCCCGGGGGGAGAGGGGCGGGCTGCCACTGTGCCGCCGGCCACATGCTCCTCAGGTACCAGTGACTACACCACACGGTAGGTCCCCCTCTGTCACTGCTTCCAGAAACTGCTTCATGGCACAGGGGAGTGCTAGTGTGGTTTCTCTGGGAAGAGCACAGGACACCGGAGGGACAAAGTCCGCTGTCCCGGATCGGGCACGCCCTCCGACTCCGCCATCCCACCGCCTGGCCACCCTGAGCGAGCTCTGGGGAGTCACCCGAAGGACCCAAGTTTGGTCCGCCTAAGTCTCCAGGACCTTCGCTCAACAAATTACCTCTGGCCTCAGGACACCGCGAGGAAGGCGTCTTCCCCTGGAACAGCAGCGGGGACTGGGTGAGAGCCTGCAGGCCGCTAGCCGACAGGCAGCTCCACGGCGCAGGGCCCGGCGGGGGCGTGGAACCTACGGGAGGGTCCAGGGTGAGCACGGCCCCGCGGCGCCCCCGCCAAACAAACTGCCAGCTGCCACCCCAGGGCCGCGGACTCACCCGGCACGAACACGTCGTCAGCCCCCGGGGAGGGGACGTGCCGCCCACTGGCACGTGGAGACCACCCCTCGCTCCTGCGCAGCTCTGCGTCTCCTCTCTGCTCCTCACACGCCCTCTTGGCTGGACACTCCGCTTCCTCCTTGGTGGGAAGGAGCCTCTTCCTGGAACCCCACCCAAACTGGCCCCAGGAGAAGGCTTCCTCAGCCTGGGGTGCACTGTCCCTGGGAGGCGACTGGTCTGGCAGCTGGCACACCCCCTCAAGCTCAAAATCCCCCAGGAGGGGAGTCCTGCTGCTGCCGAGGTCAAGACCTCCTCGCTCCCTTCGCTCCGGCTCGAGCAGGAACACGCCTGCAGGGAGGTCCAGGCCGATGTCGCCCCTCCCCGCAGAGCTGCCGCCCCCCGCCCTCTTCCTCCGCGGCCAGTCCTGAATGGTGTCAGGGGTGGTCTTCCCACTGTGTTTGGGAGACGGGGTCCAGGGAACACCGTCTGTCTGAAACGGAGAGGGGGTGCTAGAGGGACAGCGGGTGGGGGTACAGGACTGGCAGATGTAGGTCTGTCCCCCGCTCTTGCCGGGGGTGCTGTGCGAGGGACGAAGGCAGGGGGGCGACACGTAGGTGGCTTCAGGTTTCCCTGAGGACTTGCTGGCCCCGGGCATGCTGAGTCCAGGGAGGGAGCTCTCCTCCCTTCTCGGGGGCTCGGCTTCCGCCAGGCAACTGGTGTCTATCTTTTTAATGCGAAGCTTGGGCAGGCCCGAAGCTTGCATCTCCAACTCCACCTCGTAGGTCTGGGGGCTGGCCGAGGCTTTAGAGAGCCGAGTCGAAGCCTGCAGCTTCTCCAGCGGCGTGGCCGCCTGGCGCTGCCTTCTGTCGGCCGTGCGGCGCAGGGCATAGGACGAGGCCCGGGGAGAGCGGGGCCCGCGGGCAGGAGAGGATGGTGGGCTCCCGGGGGCCGACGGAGAAGGCTTCTCCCACGCCACCACCGGCCTTGACGCCTCACCTTCCGCCGCCGTGACGTGGCCTGGCGAGCCGTCGCTGCCGTGGTGCTCCGCTTCGTCCAGGACAGCGAGGTGGCCCGGGACACTCGCCCTCAGCACAGGAGAGGACCTACGCCGGTCACTCCCGCAGCCGGTCCCAGAGGGACTGTGTCTTTCCGGGGAAGGCTGGTCCTTTCCAGCGTCTGTGAGGGCGGCTGGGCTGCCAGCTGCAGCAACCCTAGGAGCGGCCGAGGTACTCGGCTGGCCCTCCAGGGAGCTGCTTTCCAGGTCCGAGGTCTCTCTGTGCCTTTTTCCAGTTTTAGCAGGGGCCCGAGGGGGCACGGGCTCAGACTGGGCAATCTGCGGGATTCGGGGGGGCGTGGAGGGACCAGGCCAGGAGAGAGACGAGGCTACGGGGGGTGCTTTCTGGGGCTCTTCCCAATCCAGTTCTTCAGGGGGAGGAGATTCTATCGAAAATTCCCGAAATGGACTCTTGGCAATTTCACCTAAGGGAGAGGCCAAAGGTTTTTTTGGAGAAAGAAGCGGGGCAGAAGTCAGATTGGTGCTCCAAGGTGTCTTGGGGACTGAGGCAGCTTTATCCCTCCATTTGTGTGTGAGCTCCTCTGCCTGAGAAGCCCCGGGAACATGGGGAGGGGGGTGCGTTGGATCCGGAGGGGTTTCTCTTCGCCCCGCTGAGGCTGCTGCTCTCGGAGGGGTTCTCAGCGTGGACCCGACGGGCATCAGACCCTCACTCCCGGTCAGGCCTGCTGGGCAGGAGGTGCTTTCGGGACTGGAAGTCACTGAGGGTGGCCAAGTAGAATTCAGAAATCCAGGTGGCTGGCCCCCTGGCCTTTTGGGAGTTCTTGGTATCTTCTTTTCAAGAGGAGAGGTTCCTCCTTTTGCCAGGGAGTGTCCTTTCCAAGGAGTGACTTTGGGTTGAGATGGTGAATCCCAGGTATGTGAGGAGTCTTTTAAGGACTCCTTAAAAATGACCTGTTTGGCAGGAGTCACTTCTGTAGGGGGTTTCCGCTGCCTTTCCGGGGTGCACAGTGGAGTTTGTGGTGTACGAGGGAACCTTCTTGGGGTAGCTTTAGAAGAACCTGGAGATTTCCGGTTACTCTTCTTAGGAGTCTGTAAAGAGATGCTTATTTCAGTGCCTAAATATCATAACCCCTATTCTCCATTGAGCATTTTAGTCCTCTCTAAGGCAATGAGAAAGGCAGATGGGAGATTTCTGGGCGGCCAATGGAATGACCGTAAGCTGATTTCCAATAGCGACACGTTTCCACTTCCATGACCCAGATTTCACTTGTCTGTTTTTTCCTAGCATCAAACACTGAATCTAATCTTGGGTCTAAGACAAAAAATTTCCGTAATACGCATACGGCAGCTAAACCAGGCTTTGCCTTGAATGGTGTGTCACTCTACCACTCACAGCTACCCTTCTCTTCAAGGAGAGAGCGCCTTCTGATCTCTGCCTAACGTGGCCTCCGGGGGTCACGTCCTCTGCTGTTCACCTGCATTCAGCACGCGCTTGCTACGCCCCCACTGTGTGCTGGGCCCTGTGTGAGTGTGTGTGCCGGTGACGGGACGTGCGGTACGGAAGACCCAGACAGCTAAGGTGCAGCGGCACAGAGAACGTCTCCGGAAGGAGGCTCCCCAGCCGCAGATCTCCCTCCCTTCCTGCAGAAGGCAGTTACGCACCCAGCATATAAAGGAGATCAGACACCTTTCGTTTCTATTTGATTATCTCAAGGGAATCCTGGTCTATGGGCATTTCACGTTCAATGGGGCACAGCCAGAGGACAACAGTGTCACCAGTGCGCTGACGGGGCCACGCACGGGACAACGTGGGAGCACAAGAGCAGGCTGGCTGTCTAACCCAGCTAGCAGGAAAGGGGGACCGGAACAGGGTCAGGTCTTTAAGAAGGGGGTGTAGGCAGGTGAAGGCCAAAAGCGGGGAAGTAGGAACTCTTCCTTTGCCTAAAATAGCAGCAGCAGCTGTGTGCAGGCCAGCGTGCAGCCTGATAGGGCCGGGAAAGTGGACTATGAAGCAGGGGGTGGTGAGAGGCAAGGGCCACAGCCAGCCCACAGCGGCCCATGCCCATCTGGGAGGACTGACCCTGGTCCTGGAGATCGGTGGTCTTCAAACCCATCCCCAGAGCTTTGTGTCCTCCCCCAACCTCGAAGCCGTTTATTGGGTTTCCAAGCAAAGATTATTTGTTAACAACAGGGTTCCATTTTAGGAAAACCTAGAAAACCCTGCTTAACAAAGAGTCATAGAGCTTTAAGCAAAGTGATGCAGTGTGAAAGATCACTCCAGCCTCTGGGAGCAGGATGGACATGAGAGGGAAAAGGCAGTTGAAATGTTCTAGGCAGAATTGAAGGCAGGCAGGAACTGCAGGGGATGGAGAAGAGGGAAGGGTATCAAATGTGGTCTATAAATAAAAGTGGTAGGATTGATTGGCTCTGTCTGGAAAGAGGGAGCAGTCGAGAGTGACTCTCAACTTTCTGAGATGGGTGACTAGATTGGGTGGACAATGTAAGGGAAACAGAGGACTGATCCCTGCACATTTCAGAAAGATATATAGTGTTTGATAAAAATGGTGGATGAAACCAACAGACCAGAGGAGATCATTTCTATTTTCTCCCCACCACAATGGCCTCAGCCAGACTACTGCCTTACATCCCCACATACCCAATAATCATTCATCTGGATCAACCCAACCACCCCCAAATAGCTAGTAGTAGCTACAGATCACCTGCTTTCTCATCCCTAATGTACTCAGTGGGTTTTCTGGGCCATGTCTCTGTTTTCCCCTCAAGACCACACTGTTTTAAACATTATAGAAATGTTATACCTGGTAAGCTGTGGGTATCTCAGAGCCCAGTGGGTTTCTTGAAGGCCTCTGAATTCGAGCTGAACCCTTCTCTGAGGGACTGACCATCTCAGACAATGCCCCAAAAAACAGCCTCTTGGGAGAACGAATACTTGGGTTTGAAGAATTTTCTCTCTGGTCTGCAAGTCAAAAACAGTGAGTCTTTCTTAGCTCCTGCCCTCCCAATACTAATAGAACAGCCAGTCTATACAAGAGTACAATTTTTTAGAGCAAGTGGGAGTGGGGATGGATTCCACCTAATTATGCCAGCAACTACAATTATTGCTGCCATCTTGGATTTTAATAAGCCCGCATACTAACTTTAATAGCCCTTATATATGTTAGGCAAGTAAAACTATTTGTAAATACAAAAACATGTATCTGAGGATCCAGACTAATGATGGATAAAAGCATGAAGGACAAACAGATATCACCTTCTACCTAGGACGCTTGAGTGTAGAATATGAACACAAGGTGGAAATAATGGGTAATTCCTGTTGAATGGATAAATTACCTCTAAGGATAGTGTGGATGACCAGTTGTAGGAATCCAAAGGGAGGACACTGTTAATGAAGGTCATGGATTGTCCATCACTCTGAACCTCTAAAGGACATACCTATTCTACTGCTCCAGTGTCAAGAAAGAAAATGTCAAATTTTGTACTTTTCCCAAAAACACTTCCCGCCGAGTAGACCCAGACTTCTGAAGGCAGGTGAGCAAGCATGTTACCTGACTTGTCTTGCTGGAATGAGTGAACTCTTTGTACACTTCGAGACTTTGGCTGAGACCCAGAATAGAAGGAACCAGAATTTGTCCTGCTGATTGACAATTGCTTGATTCGAGGACTTCGTCTCAAGCTTACTTCTGCAAAACCAGAATCC